CCGTCCTGCGGCTCCATTTTCACCTGCGGCCACAGAGGGGAGTTGTTGGCCCCGCCCCCACCTTAAAAGAAGAGGAGAACAAATTGAGCAAAGGTGATTTTCAACCATAAAAACAAATTCCCTGCATTAAAAAGAAAGAAGGTAATTAAAAAATGCTAACGAGACGTGACAGATGCCATCTGGAATATTGTGTGGTTTTTATTCCAACTATATTTCACATAAAACCTGCTGCTTCATTCTGCAAAAAAAGGTATTGGTTTAGAGGAAGGAGAAATTTAACAGCTAGGAAAACTTTGACATCAATCCTTACACATTCTTATCATGTGAATTAATTAAGGTGGGAGGTAGACAGTCACAATTTCCAGGCTGTGTGGCTCATTCAAATATGACATGTAAGAGGCCTATGAAGGTGCCTTGTTTTGACTGATTTTGATGGATGCAGACAGTTGTGCCTGAGGTTTCATGACCTTGCAAGATCTGCTAAGAGTAAAAACTACGAGAGTAACATGCATCTAAAATATGGAGAGAGATGGAATGGTTTCATAGGGGTAAGAAAAGCAGTAAACAACACATTAGCTATTTTATTTAAAGTGTTTTAAAGAGGTTTGTGGTCAGATGCAACATACTGGTGCAGTGGTAATGTCACTGTGGCAGGACGTGCTGAGTCAAGCTCAGTTTAATGGTCCGCTGACGACTGACTGCACCTATAAACTTGATGTAGATAATGTCTTAATAGCAAACAAGTATAGACTAAGTTATTTTTTGCATAAAAGTGAGCTGATAAAAACTAGGTCATGTTAACAACCTTATTGGAAACACTTTCTGAGGAGAAATCTTATTAGGAAGTGTCCTAGTAGAAAGCTGCTTACTGATTAAAATACACACAGCAATTTACTGAAGCCACGATGCTAAAAACAGAAGCTTTACCTGCTCCACTTGGTCACACAACATCCAGCACTGAAGGTGTTACTCACACCAGTCACCTCAGTAGGGAACTCTTCATGAAGGCAGAATATAAATGTGGACAGGAGTGCTGCTCTCACCTGAGGTGTGAGGAGAATGGTCACCATCCAGGCCTGAAGTCAGCCTTTCACCGTGGGCTCCGAGGACCCCCATAGGCAGAGCCTGGTCCCCAGAGGCCAGGTCGGCCTCAGGCTCCTCGCTAACAGGGAAGGAGATGTCACTCATGGGCTCCTCCTTAATCCTCGGGGGCTTGGAGTCCTCCAGAGCCTTCTCTGGGTTCACCAGCCGCTCGTATTCCTCCGACAGATCCTTACTGACCTAAAGAGGAAAAACTATTAGTCCTGTTTTTCTGGTGTAGGATAAAATGAAAACTGAGCCTGGATGATCCAGCCTTCAATATTATCCTATTATTCTCCTCTGACCTAAAAAATATAGGTCAGTGGCTTCAGCTAAGAGACTTGTCAATATTCAACATTTTTCCACGGAGTCTAAATAATGAGGTATAAAAGCGACATTGATCATCAACAGATCAGTTTCCTCACTTTCTGCTCTCCGCAGCTCTGATCACTTGTGTTTCTTTAAAAGTCCTGTTGGCATTGAGGACAGTGAATCTCTCACTTTGGCGTCTGTCTCACTTCCGAGCAGCTTGCACACAAGTTACCATACGGTCGATTGTTCTCACTCGTACAAAGTGCTTTATGCTTCCTGAGATGATTCAGCATGTTGTCCTGAAGCCATGACACTTTTTTACACTGCACTGTGCCAAAGATGATTATTTTCAGTGCTGATTCATTTGCAGATTATTTTAAAGGTCTAATTGTTTAGTCAATAAAATGTCAAAATATAGTGAAAAATTATGATCAAATCCTCGTATTGGAGAGGCTTGGTTTGGTGTTTTTGGTTGATAAATGACATAAAATTGATACATTATTAAAACTGCACTTAACCAATGATAGTAATAGCACGAAGCAACCTGCTGCTGGTCTATGTCGTAGCTCCTCCTCTGCCATTTATACACTTAAGAAAATATTAATCAAATTGCCAAAAATGATCTTGAACACCACAAACAAACAAGGATAAAATATCATGGTAAATATAATTTTATGCCATGATTTCTACTGACGGGTCAGATTAAAAGGAAAAACATGAATAAATGAGTGGAGAACATAACGAATGTAGATGCTTTCACACAGGTGCACTGCATGGTACAATTAAGCAGTTAACATCCCATCATGCTCTGTGGCAGGTATAAAAATGCTGAGCAGACCCAGCTGATTCTGTGTCTGTATCAAGATGACAAGAGGAAAAGGTCTGAGTGACTTTGAAAGAGGGTTCATTATCAGGGCACAGATGGCAGGAGCACACCAGGAGAACAGTGCAGGCCTGAATGTGTGACCCCTACAGTGAGGGGATCCTGCGGCTCTGTTATGCTATGAGGGGCATTTTGCCGGGATTGTTTGGGTCCACTTGTCCCCTTAGAGGGAGGGGTCACTGCAAATCAATCCAAAGTTGTTCTTCGTCCGATGATGAAACATTTCTATCGTGATGGGAGTGGTCTCTTCCAGGATGACAGTGTTCACTGAATGGTTTGATGAGTATGAACATGATGTGAATCATATGCTATGGCCTTCATAGTTGCCAGATCAAAACCCAAGAAAACCTATAGGAGATGTAGGACTGACATGTTAGACAGCGCTCTCCACCACCATCATCAAATCACCAAAAGAGTGAATATCTTTGGGAAGAAAGGTGTTCATCCCCCAGTAGAGTTCTGGTGGCACCTGGAGGCCCAACACCTTACTAAGACAATTCGTCACCTGTCTGTACTTTTACTGACATATAATATATTTTCTGGAAATTCAAATGAGAAACAGTTAATGAAAAATGTAAACAGGTAGAAATGTCTATTTTGTCTAATTCAGTGGTATTAAAAGTGACAGATACACAGTATTAACAGTATGGCAAATTCTTGAATAGTTATGATTCAACCTCACCTGCAGCATGTAGCTGTGATAGTCTTTGATCCTCACTTGCCAGAAGCGCTGCAGGGCCAGCACGCTGCCGATGCCCACCTCATGGAACACTTGCTCCACCACGTCCGGGAAGGGACTTGCCCCTAACCGCGCCTCCCGATCCACCGCCACCCGCAGCAGGCGGGTGAGGCGCAGGTAATGCTCGTGGACCAGGTCGGTCAGAGTCTCCAGCACACTCTCCTGAGCAGATTCAAAGCCAGCATGGGCCAGGACGGTGGCCACTGACTGATAGAGGAGCTGCCTGCAGGAGAGCCAACTCAGCTCTGTGACAGGCTCGCCTTTACCCCTTAAGATGGAAGAACCAGACGGGATGGAAGGAGATAAATGATACCTGCTTGCTAAATTAACTGAGATTATATCTGTGAAATTATAAACAAATTATAATATCTAAATTAAAACTTAGATGCCCTCAATAGATATGGATGGCATTTAATTACAAAAAAGGGCTCCAATCTTATCTCAGCCACACAGCCAGAGTAACTTACTTATAAAAGTCGCTTTCAGGGTCACTGTGGCGGAGCTGGAAGGGTTGCCGTGGGGCTTTGCTGTCCACAGGTAACAGATCATCTGGCATGACAGGTGGGGTGGGAGGACGTAGAGGGAAGTTGGTATCAGCCTCCTCCATCCTGCTGCCCCCTTCAGACGACGCTGAGCTCTGACCCTGAGCTTGAGCCTGGGCCGCTGCCAAGAGGCCACGGAGGCGGCGAGCATGCTGACACAGCTGCACAGTGTGGATGGTGAGGCTGCAGGGTTCTGAGGGGATGTCTAACATTGTGGTGGGCCGCGGACGCTGGGCCGAGGGCTGGTGCAGGGGAGGGTCCTGCATCTCCACAGAGCGAAACTCACGCTGGAGCAAGTCAAAGGAGCTGCGGCTGGGAGGCGCCCCTGCAGGTCCAGGGATCTCTCCCCAGTAACGCATCATGATGAGTGATCAAAGACACAAGGCTGATTCAAACCGGCATCAAGTCTGATTAAGTCTGAAAACTGTAAAGAGGGAGAGGTGAGAAAAGTCAGTGATCATTGCAGATATTAACATTTTCAGTGGAGTATTGATTCAGATTTTTACACACACACCTTCAATTAACTTAAAAATACTTAATAGTTCTGTTTGCTTATAAGATTGTGAATTTAAGATTTAAATTGTGAAGTTTTAGCTGTGTCAGGGTGGCATCTTAGCCCGAACTGCCAAAGTAATGACGGCCAAATACTAATAGCTGCGCAATTTAATACCATTTGTATATGGCAAACATACACAAACCATGGATCGTGCTTTAAATGTTGTCTCATGATCACCTCGGCATAAATAAATAAAAATATTAGCAATAATAATCAGGTGACACTACTTTTATCAAGAAGGAAGACAGCAGGAAGAGTATTTTGAACGTATAGGAACGGCTGTTAGGTGTATCCCGAATTGAAGAGTACATTATTTGATTGAGTTAAACTCTGAAGTCAACGTTTAACAGGAATTTCTATTTGCCGAATAGCAAGACAACATAAAAAGTCAGGTGTCTGACTGGAGTTTTGCACTACGAGAACAAACAAGAGAAAACGCATTAGCATTAACTCTGACTCATGAGGGAGCAACGACAACAAGCCAGCTAGCTAACGATAAGTACCTTGCATGCATGCTTAGGCAGTTAAACTGTACAATACTTAAGTTAAAAAAAAGACTACTGTAACTTACATTACACAGAGATGGCTGAAACGTCTGTTGATAATTGGAGCCAATTGCCCTTGTATTTTTGAAGGAAGTTGCACAGGATGTAAACTTTCTCGTCCGTGTTGCAAAAAACTCGGGTAAATAGCTGAGGAAGATATTGTTCCGCAACAAACTACTCATTTTGAGTAGAATAAAATTAATTAATACGCTGTGTGGTTTTATTATAAATAGCTTTTCGACATATTTCTCTGGAACATATTATTTATTAAATTATTATTAACTGCTTTAAAAGTTTTGCTGAGGCTCAGAAGACCCGGGCACATTTTATAGTCGCACCAAATAAACATGGACGCCTCCCAGCCGTTAGACGTGAGCGTGAAAAATACAGATGAAGAAATGAGCTCTTCACTGGAAACGGACGGATGCTCCACCACCGATAATGGTGGCGAACTCGAAAAGAAAGACTCGTCTAAAACCGAACCAGAAACAGAGGACCCGTTTAAGAAACCGGCTCTTATCGCTGCGCCTTCTCTCGCCAACAAACGCGGTAACGTCGCTGCTTCTTCCAAACCAACAGCAGCCGAAACAAAAAGTGTGAAAGAAAATAACAAAGCTGAAATTATAGACACTACCAGCGACTCGTTCTCGGGTCCTCTTAATGAAAATGAAACCCAGGGAGAACGTCAAGAACAGGACAAAAAAGGCGAAAAAGATAGGGATGTTCCTCCTGTCAAAATCAAACCAGATACCAAACCCCGGGTGCTTCCTGCGAAAGGGCCCCCAGCTGGCAAATTTCCCCCTCTACCATACACAGAGCCACCGTGGGGTGGCAGGGCCTCAGATATTCCTTATGCTCTTGAAATCCTCAAAAACGGGGCCATAGTGGACAAGATACCCCTCACTCACAGGAGTTTCTTCGTAGTTGGACGTTTACCTGTGTGTGACGTGTCTCTAGAGCATCCCTCCATCTCCAGGTACCACGCAGTGATTCAGTTTCGCGGACAGGCCGGAGAGGGGGAGTCTGTTGGAGAAGAGAGGGGCTTTTACATCCACGACCTGGGCAGCACGCACGGCACCGTGGTGAACAAGAATAAGATCCCCCCGAAGACCTACATCAGACTCCGCGTGGGGCACGTGTTAAAGTTTGGGGGGAGCACAAGACTTTTCATCCTGCAGGTAAGTCATGATGTGGACACCCTTCCCACCTGCACTTCAAAAACTGACGGTATTACTTCATGTTTACACACAGCTATAATTTAACTCGTATGTTAAAGCAAGAATGACTTTTAAACCCCATTCAGCTAGTAAAATAGAATTCACAAATTATATTTGAGACTGATTTTGGCATTACAGATATTTACTCAGATACTATCTTTCCCATTATTTATTTTTATTTTATTTATATTTGTTTATTTTTAAATCTGCTTGGATTGCAATAATCATTTAAATTGCCATTTAATCAGATTATTATTTTCTTGATTAATGGATTTATTGTTTAATCTTTAGTGTCCAAAATGAGTGAAAATGGCCATCACAATTTTCTGAAGCCAATGCTGACATGTTCAATCTGGAAATAGTGATGCATGCTCTGACTTTTTCTTTGCCAAGGCCAATTCCAATTCCTAAACTGAGGGTATATACACTGCCAATACACAGTACAGAATGTACCTGGCATGCAGGGATAGATAAAGCCAATATGTGCACAACGGATTGCTTTGGCACTAAAAAAATATGTAAATATATATAGATATGAATGAATGTGTCCAGCAGTGGAACGACAGGATTTTATAATCACATTAATGAAGAACATGTTTTTTATCTGCTCTGTCACATCTGGCCAATATTCAACTGGTGTAGGTCTGTGTCAGTGCCAATACCAACCCGGTGGATCTGCTTCTCTAACAGGAAGCTTAGAGCAAAGTCAGACAGGTCTAAACTGAAAGTTCTGATGATTTTAGGGAGAAACCATATCAGGATTTATAATTTCCGTGTCTGTTCCAACCACTGCATTGAGCAAATGTTATAATGTTATTTAAATCATATAGTATTAATAGATTAAAATACTTTTTTAATCAGTAAACTACATTTTATAAGTTTTTGTTTAGAAAGTATGATTCATCACTTTATGAAGGCATGCATGATTGACCTATCGTATCATGTATAAGCCCAATAGGAAGCTGCAGCAGAGGAGTCAAAACTTAAGTTATTTTTCTGCCTGGTTATGCCAAAATGGCAGATTACTTCATGGGAGTATCTGTCACTTGACAGAAAATTAATTATTTCAGTCATTTATCAAGCTAATTTGTCAATGAAACCACTTAGTATGGAATTTGGAACTCCCTACTAATTTTATATATACATATATAGATGTTAATTCAAAAAAGAAAGAAAAACCCAAAGTCTTCATCTTCACTCTCCTTTCACAGGGTCCAGAGTTTGATGAGGAAGAGGAGTCTGAACTAACAGTGACAGAGCTGAGGGAGCGTGCCCAGAAACAGAAAGCAGAGCTGGAGAAGAGGATGATGGGAGATGGTTCGGATGATGATGACGACGATGATGAGAAGGAGGAAAAGGAGGAGAGCGGGGAAGGCGAAAGCAACAAGTGCCAGAGCAAACAGTCAAACGAAGATTCAGGCTGCTCGTGGGGAATGGGTGAGCTTTTCTGCTGGTTCTAGGATTACACTACAGTGTGTTACGTGTCAGCTGTGTCGACATACTGCTGTGTTGTCGTCTCAAGTGAGCTGGTATAAAACGTTCTCGCAGGGCGAGTAACTGAGGAAGCAAGTTAATCCCTTAGTTCTCTCCTTTCCTTTCACTCCATCTGTCCCTGTAAATCCGCCCTGCAGCCGAGGAGGTTGTTCCAGAGGAAGACGAGAACGAGGAAAACCCTTTCTCAACAGAGTTCCACGAGGATCAGGAGGCCGCATACCTGAAAGACCCCAAGAAAGCTTTGCAGGGCTTCTATGACAGGGAAGGTGAGGAGACATCAGGTTTTATTAGATGCAGAAGAAAACTGGATGTGTATCTTGAATTGCCTGACTGAGTTTTGACATCCTTTGTCTTAGGGGAGGAACTGGAGTTTGAGTATGAAGACAAAAACCACGGCAGCTGGTTGTGCAGAATAAAGTAAGAGACACGTGTCTCAAAGGTCAAAGGTTAAATAGTGTGTGGATGTGGTGCAGTGTGTCAGAGTCTGTGTTGATTTATCCGTCAGGCTGCCGGTGGATGATGCCATGGGCCGACAGCTGGTCGCCGAGGTGACGCACACAGGGAAGAAGAAAGAAGCGGCCATCCAGTGCTGCCTGGAAGCCTGTCGAATGCTGGAGGCCAGAGGGCTGCTGCGCCAGGAAGCAGGTGGGAACTCAGCCCCACTGGGAATGTCTGAAATTGGAATCTGGAGAGGAGGTTACAGCATGTTGTCATAAGGATAAGAGTTTTCCCTGTTTTACATCCTATTTCCAGTGTCCCGTAAACGCAAGAAGAAGAACTGGGAAGATGAGGACTACTACGACAGCGATGATGACACCTTCCTGGATCGAACTGGCACTGTGGAGAGGAAGAGGCAAGAGCGAATGAAAAAGGCTGGAAAGATTGAGGAGCAGCCAGAGACCTATGAATCTTTGGTAAACATCTGCCGGCACTTTTAAACACAATTGGGGAATATTGCAATATTTTGATTCAGTTCCATGACATGAACAGGAGAAATAGGACGCAGTGACTCTAGATCAGCCTCCTTTTTATTTGTCACTTTAGAACCTTCACTACTGCCTTTTTTTACACTTGTTGCTGTGGTCAGCATCAATATTGTGCTGAGAATTCACAAAGGGTGTGTAATTTGCTGAACAGAAACTAAACACACATCATCTGTGTAAATCATCATATCTAATGACAAAAATGCTGACACACTCACGTGTAGCAGATCTAATACTTACCACATTCACCAGCTTCGCATGTTAGCATTAGCACCTTCTATAGACCAGAATATGTAGCAACATCAACAGATGGAGTTTTTCCTCCTGTTACAACTGTAAATGTTAATATGGTGAAATACCACACACTCCTCCACCTTATAAAACCACAGACTGTGAAAACCACACACCAGGTGTTTGTTGCTCCGCTCCAATGTAATGAATAACATGTATAAATGCAGGTGTTCTCTGTAAGGTGAGAGGAGCTGCTGTTTCCACTGAATGTAACAGAAAAATCTATTTCACTTTTATCTATTATTTCTATTTCATCTATTACACTCAACAAGTCTTTAATGTAAGGTGTGTTGATGTAAATGTTCATGTATTTGATTTTACTGTAGGTGGCCAAACTGTCAGAGGTGGAGAAGGAGCTGGAGGACACTCAGAAAAAGCTCAGTGCTGGTAGAGGAGGTGAGTCACCATCACCTGTGTCACATGCCTCTTCACCTATAAATATATGTTCTCCCCGTGTTATTCTATGTTTCATTCCTCCTTTTAGACTCCTCTGGCTCTTCCACGGAGGACCCACTGGACGCCTTTATGACTGCAGTAAAAAGCGAGGCAGCGATGGACGCTGTGGAGCGCAGGAAGCTTCACGTTCACGTAGCAGACTTACGCAGAGACGCACAGCGACTTCGCAAACTGGTCGAACTCACAAAGCCTGCACAGATGCCGTCGCTGCTGCCGAGGTTAGACACACATACTACAGCTTTAAAACCCAGAAATCTGTGAATTCTTTGAAAGATTTAATCTCCTGAAATATCAACTAGCAAATTTTACATGTAGGTTATGTGAAGGAAAAAAAGTCTGAGACTGTGTTTAACATCTTCTTTGAAACATTCTCTGGAGTTAAATTTTTATTCCAATATATATTGGACCACATTTAAACACTTACAAGATGTCTTGATGTGCGTTGATGATGTAGTGGCGGCACAGAGACAGAGAAGCCTAAGAAGACCTTACCGCTCTTTGGAGCCATGAAGGGAGGAAGCAAATTCAAACTGAAGACTGGCACCATTGGGGTAGGTGTTGTTCCTTATGGTTTTAACTTACGTTTAATCATTTGAGACTTAAATGCCAGTGGAAAATTGCATTTGTACTAGAGTTGTTCTGCTTCAGATACAAAAATCAAAAATGACACCAATACTGCTTAAAATTTGGTATCGGGAATCGGCGAATACGCAAGTCTATGCACCGATTCAGTAATGCGTTATCTATTAATAAATTTCACACCCAGATAAAATCAATTCCTCTTTGCCGTTCTTAAACAGTAGCCTACACAGGAAATTGCGCTGCGACAATGACTGTTTGAGCAATTTGGCAACATGATACACTGGAAAGTCCCACCGGCAAAAAGGCAAAGTGTTCTGAATGCAAGGCTTTAATTTCAACATGTTACAACGACTAGTGTAGGAAGTATTATTTATTTCAGGATTTGTTTTAATGGCTTACAGTCAAATTAGATAATAAAAGAAAGACTATGATATTCATGTATCTGTTCATGTTTTATAAAGGATTTAATCTGAGCAGTCACATCACATCCATACAGGGTCAGAAAAGTTCAGGTGTCGGGAAGGAAAAAATGGTATCAGAGCATCACTAATTTTTTTTTTTTTTACTAAGCCTCTTTCTCTCTGCCGTTGATGTTTTTGTTGTCTCTCTAGAAGTTGCCTCCGAAGCGGCCGAACTTGCCTGCAGAGCTCTTCAATATGAAAGAACTTCCACCTGGTGAAGAGGAGGAAGAAGAAGAAGAAGAAGAGGAGGAAGAGGCAGAGAAAAATGAGGATAATGATGATAAACAGTGTACCAGTATTGCTGAGTCTAATGATGACTCTGAAGAGTCCAGTGCATCCATGAGTCAAGAGAGCGCTCCCTCGGGCCAGCAAAGACGGAAGCCAGTACAGTCCCATGAGCTGAAAGGTAAAAGAACTGTTACTGTCGGAGGAAGCAGGGGATAAGGAGGAATCATGCATTTTGGTTTTCTGACTTCTTTATAGTATGTTCACAAGTTTTAATGATGATGATGATGATGATGATGATGATGATGGTGCCTTATAATGCCACTGGGTGGCAGTAGATCTTTTATACATACAAACAGCATACTGTTTACTTTGTGTGCTTCCATATGCAGACATAGATCATAAAATTCAATTATGAAGCAGTGGTCGGCTTAGATCAACTCTTATATTTTATTTTTGTATTTTTGGTACAAAGTCAGGTAAAATCTGTCCTTATGACCCACATCTGTACCATCACAGGATCTATTTTAACCTTAAAAATTAGAATCCATATGGCACTTTATATTTCTTGTTTGTGTGTTTTCATGTCAGAGCAAAGCAGCAAACAGAGGAGAGGTGGGGAGTGTGCTGAAGCAGTGGAGCAGGTCCCCGAGCACAAGAGCAACAAGGCCCCGGCACTGAGTCCAAGTGGGTGATGTGTCTTATTGTTTCCATATTAATCTGCGCTCTCTCAAGTATTGGTTACTGTGCAGCAGTGGTGAGGGGAGTATTCAGATCATTTATTTAAGGAGCCGTACTGCAATGTAAAAATAATCCTCAAGTCCCATGTTCAAAATTTGAATTTTCAGCGACAAAATTACTCAAAAGTAGTCGTTTGCAAAATGACATGTGCCAGTGTTTTATTGTTGTATGATTGCATCATTAATAATGACACATTAACATGTAAGCAGAAATTAAAAGTTGTAGCTGGTCAAGGTGTAGCTAATTTTAATGTTTTAAAATTGGTCATTTAATATTATATTACAAAAATTCACCATATGTTTTGTATGGAAACTCTTAATTTGAAAAGTTACAAAGCTGTCAAAAGGTGTAGTGGATCAAAATACAATATTTCCCAATGAGTGAAAGAATCTCAAAATTGTTGTATAAAAAAATATTATTGTTGTACGTATTATTATTATTATTATTATTGTCTGTCAGTGGCTTTGGTGCACTGTAATCTTTAATGTACTGTACCTCCGTTTCCACAGAGTCCAAAGCAGAAGGTGACAGAGAGGCAGCAGCTGAGCCCAGTTCCAGAAAGAAGAAGAAAGTGATGGGCCCCAGCAGGGTAGGTCCTCACACACACACAGGAGTAAACATTCAGATGTATGATACAGAAAAAGTGTGACATAAATTGAATCTCCTCATGGTGTGTCTTCATAGCCCCCAGTGCAGCTCTCAGGACAGTATCCAGAGGACGACCCTGATTATTCAGTGTGGATGCCTCCTGCAGGTAAACAACTGGACAGTATAACCTTAACCCTGTTGCTCTTTGTTCTGATTAGTAGAATAGACGTTCTTTCTCCAAATCTCAAGACTTTTTGCCAGAGTGAGCTTTCAAACCTGGAAAAATCTAGAATCCAAACATGTATCAAGTCTATGCAGAATGAAAAGCAGGGACTTAGGACAGCTGGACACAGCAGCAGTGCTACTCTCATACTTTTACTACAAAGTAATTGCCTTCTAGTGCGTCTTGACAAACACTCATTGACACTGATAGACGTGCGTGTTCCTGGGCTACGGAGCTCAGGAATGAAGGGAAGGGGGGAGGCAAATATTTTTTAAGGATACTGTGAGAGGAAGAAAACACGGTCTCATGGTCCATTTGTGCAGCCAAAATTGCAGGGACATTTTCATTGTTCACTAAGGAATGCAGATCAAAGTCACTTAAAAATGATAAGATAAGCTGGAGTAAAATAAACTTTGAAATGTCTGCCAGACTGTGTTTGGATTCAGAGTCAAGACTAATTGCATTGCATAATTTAAGCATCACAATTGGTTTGATCAGGAGCTAGCAGAAAACTTTAACGTAATCCAAAAATGTGTGCGTGCGTGTGCGTGCATGTCCTTTTGATGCTCAAACTTTCTTTTCTTCACTCTTAGGTCAGACTGGAGATGGCCGCACACACCTTAATGACAAGTATGGCTACTGAGGGAAAACATAAGAGAGCTCTTCAGCTTCCACTCCACCAGCTTTTATACTTCAGATAATACCTGCAACACAAAGGCCTCTGGTCTCCTCAGCTCTGACCATTAACCCCCTCCATCCATCCCAGTCCCTCTGTGTGTGGTTCAGCTTAGAAAAACGAGGAGCTTGGAACCGACCAGGGGCGGGCAGCGAGGATGCTGCTGCACCCTCTGATTCATCTCTTGAGGATTTCCGAATTTGCGGATTGATAAACAAAGAGCACACTATTCCAATTCACATTAAATGGGCAGGCTTGGGGAATTGCCCCCTCAGAGCAGACACTGGGCAGTCAGCCTGCTGGCACTTTTCCCTGCGATTGAGACGGGTGGCACCTGAACTTTTTATTTGAATTCTATACAATCAAGCAGAAAACGGAAAGTGAGAGCGAAGGAGCAGTAACTGATCTCAACTCAGTTTTTCTGGTCTTTGGCTGCTCCTCTTGCAGTTAAATCCACCTGACATCCAATCTGTGTCCCTCCTCTGTTTGGCTTCAGTCGATCGCTGGCATAACCTTTTTTTTTTTTTTTTCCAAAGGAGAGTGTGTAACGGAGGGAGAAAGAGGGAGAGCATTGAAGCAGCTTTTCTGACCATCTGGACACTTGGATGGCTTACTGGATGAAACACAAGCTGATAATGACTCAACCTAAGTGGAGTGTGTGTCTTGTGTCTACACCGACACACACACACACACACACGCATAGCCCAACCTTCTCAAAGTTCTCTTTTTAACATGATTGTCTTTATGAGCGAGTCAGCTACTGGGGTGTTTGCCTAGAGCAGGATTCCTCGCTCTGTGAAATCCCACTCAGTGCTGTTCTCTTGGTTTACTGCCATACGTTCCATCCTCTTTCCTGTTGTCTATTCTCGAAACACAAAGTAAAGAAGCTGTATTTTGTTATATAAATGTATAATAAAAGTGTCTGTACATAACCTCTGAGTTGTTTACTCTTACTCCCTTAACTTTGACCTGATTATACCCTCTTCCAGCCACTCTCCTCTAAATTTTCCAGCCGTCCTTCCTCTGCTGTTCTTCTTCACACGCAACCTCGTTCTGACGTCAGACTGTCTTTTTCCTCTCTTTCAAGCTCTCTCTCTCACACACAGGATTTCTCAGGGTATGATCTGGCACAAAGAGGCTTGTGGTCTTGGCTGTGGATCTTTGCTGTGATGTTCTGTGCTGTGACCTACTAATCACAAATGGAAAACATGGTCCCCTCTGCCTCAAACGCAACTACAAATGGTATTGACATATTATCACCACATAAAGTTTTCGTGGGGCACAGGTTAGCAGGTACTTACACATCCAGAGACAGGCATTCAATTGAAAGTCCAAAGAGTCCAGTTGGACAAACTTTCCTCAAGCAAAGGGTTTAGGGAGGGATTATAAATGAGACCTTTCTCTATATAACAATATAATAACTATGTTCTTATATCATTTCAAGGAAAATAACAGCTGTAATAAGTATTAACTACATAGCAGAGGGCTTTTGATAGAATATAATAAAGTGCTTCATTTTACAAAATGAACAGCTTTAACTCCTTTTCTCTTTTTCTCTCTCTCTCTTTCCTTCTTCTATCCCACTTTCCTCACTTATTTCGCTGATGTCGTCGCTCGCATGTTTGTGTCTCACTCAGTGACTTGATTTGTAGTAATTGGCTGAGTAACATCATGACACCAGAAAAGCTATGCTGGTTAAAATGGAAACGTTCTGTTAAAATTGAATAATTCTCAATAATTTATAGGCTATACATCCGGGTCTGGATAGGATAGCATCTGGACCAGGGTCCGCCTATTACTGACCTCTGATGTACAGTAACCGTATGTCTGTGTGTGTGTACAGTGGGTTTATCAGCGCTTTTCTCATGAAAACCGCTGAGAGTGGTGAGAGTGAACCAAAACAATGAGCTAAAAGATACTAAAACCTTTTACATTACATACTGTCATTTGAAGCATCGTTAGTATAAAAATATCAACTAGTGCAGCTTTAAAGGTTTAGTGTCAGATGTGGACTTAATGTTTCACTAATAAAATCTGTGGGAGTTCATGCCTCTGTTAAATACAGGACAGGTACATACTGAGCTTCAAGCAGAGAAAAACATTCAGTATAGTACCTTGTGACATAATGGATGAGTGATAAATTAAAGGAAAATCCCAGATATATTATCTAAGTAAGGACCAAAAGAACAGCTTTAGTGTTACCTAGCAAAGAAAAGCGTCTTAAAAGTGTCAGTTATGTTGTTCGTTCACTCAGTTATTCAGGTTTTCTCTTTTATATTGTCACCTGTCTGTATCATAAATTACATTACATAAATCTATATATATATATATACTGATCCAAAGAAAAAAAGATTACCTAAACAAGAGGCCACAGGGCATTTATTGATTCATTTTGTGCAACAGTGGACGAAAACATGTCAATGTTACATTCACTTCAATTTTAGTTACAGTGGTGACGTTGTGTTTAATCAATGAATCATCTCATGTCAAGCTGAGCTGAGAACTACCTCAAGTTTCATTCAATACAACAGGAATGTGATTTCAAGGCATTAAGAGATCTTTAGAAAACACTGGGATGTCTTGGATACACCAGTGGTCCTCTTCTACCTAGAAAGTAATGAGGTAAAATATTTGAAAAAAAATAATGGCACACTACAAGTAGGCTATGCATAACACAGCACCAGTTACACTTGCCAAATGTGCAGCAAACTATTCTCATACTTCCTTATTTCCATATACCTCTCTCTCTGCAAAACAGTGGAATTCATGCAAGAAAAGAGGATACAAGTACTTAACTCTGACCCTGGACTAAAAGTGACAAATTCATTAAGAAACGTACATCATCAAAGGTCTACTATTCAAACTACATTCATACATGTTTGTTATAGCTCGTTCGTCATGACCTGCATATTCAATAACACATCCAAAGTAGTTTTTCAGACAGACAAACGTGACCACTGTCTATGTTCATCGCAACAATAACATATCAGATGACTCACCTCACCATGTTTAGTATATGAAGTTACCAAGAGCCTTACAAGATGTCCAGTAATCAAATAAAAGGAGGAAACCTTGGGAACCATTTGATTGTCTTACATGCTTTTATTTCCAACCAGAACTAAAGTCAAGTTTCACAACGGTCGGCCTTGTCCCTTTGTACCACACCTCTAGTCCACCGTCCATGTTTGTTTCTTCATCATTCTTCCTCCAATCACAGGATCTTTTCAGAAATAGCTATACATTTGCAATACCTGAAGAATCCTTAGAAACGTTGTGTTTAGGCCACTTCATTCTCCAAATGTCCCTGCTGATTTCACGTGGAGAACAACGATCATGGTGACAGCGTTACAGGGTGGGATTACCTGAGTGTGCAATAGTTCGCTCATCAAACAAATGTCTTTCTAGTGGTCAGTTTCACATCAGTCCTTCCTTGGTCTTGCTGCAGAAGCCACACAAAAGCAGCCGTCTAGGAATGAAGAGTTGGGGGCGGGAGGGGAAGTATTATCTGGCGTTGGATGAATTTTCTTATGAGCAGGGAGGATCCTCGCACGGGGTCAGGGGGCTGCAGGGCGGCACTGTGCTCAAGGAGCGAAAGGCAAAGATAGAGGGATCATAGGTGTACCTGGGTGGAGGACGAGTGCCTGTCAGATTCTGAGGACACAGAAGGAGAGAGAGAGAGCGGTGGTCATGGATCTGTCAGAAGTAGGTGTTTGGGTTAATCCAGCTTTTGAGCTTTACTGGATGTAAAAGGTGAGGATTACCTGCTGTCCCTGAGTTATGCTATTATGGCTCAGTTAGTATACGTCACTGGTGTCACTGGGTGCGGCTGTGTTATAACACATGTAACTGTGAGAACAGTGGCTGATAACCACACTGGCAGTGGTGGGAAAGTCACTGCACCTCATTGGAACATTTTCACAGTGACTTTTTCTAATCACACTGCAGGTTCAGAGACATAAATGCTTTTTCACTCAGAGACATCCCCCTCTGAGCAGAACCATGCTTCTTGTAGCTCTACAAGCCCTCTGTCTAAAATTAGCCCTGGTCATTCTCCTCCCTACAGGAAATGACAGGAAATGACTTTGTTGGATTTGGCAGTGAGGCAGCACTTTCTCCAGAGCCTGCTGAGGGGGAATGAAGTTTTTGAGAAGGTGGACTGAGAAAGTTTAGGACCTTGAGACAGATTAACTGTAGTAAGGAGCCGATCCCATGGAAAAACGTGTGTTATGGATAAGGATAGCTTTATATTGTCAGTGTCAACCTACAGTGTTACTGAGAAAGAGGCATCCCTTCAACTGACTGATTCCATTCAGATGCCCATTGCTACTGGAAAAGTACCAAGTGACATTAGTGCCTATGAAAAAAGCCCCATGAACAGTGCGTGTGAAGCTACAGGTGTTGCTATGACTCCATTCAACAGGGACTCAGCACTGACAACTGAGCCACAGTAACGCAGCAACAATTCCCAAAACCACTTGGAGCTGTTTTATCTACCAATGTTAATATAAACAGGCAAAAAGTGAGATGTGGAAAAACAAATCGCAGCCCAAGAACAAGTTACAGTAAACTTGATAAATGTCAGCTGTGTTCAGATGTTCTCCATATGGTGGATGTGAGTCTGTCCGACTGCAAGGAAGAGTCAAACATCTGGATGGCTACCTATCCACGTTAGCAGTCCCTGCAGAGTAGTTCTGTGGTCACATCTGTAGTATAACAGACATTTAAGGCCCAGAAGGGTCAAGCAAAGTACAAGTCCCAAAAGTACAAGGCCCTCAGTTTGTGCAGACATCAAAAGCAGTGGTTGGAAAGCTGAGTTAAGACACCGGGTTAAAAAATGTTTCTCTCTGGAGATTTGATGTAGTTTTAAGTTTGTTCTGTTTAGAATTAGATTTGCCATGATGCTTCTCTGCTTTAATATTTTATCTATGGTGTTTTGTATATTTGTGGTGAGGCAGGTCATGTGGATCTGCTGTTCTAGGAGTTAGAGAGCTTCTCACAATCTCCACTGTGAACAAAATATGTTTGCCTGGTAGGAAGTGGGTGCTTTTGCCATGTCGGTGCCGAGGGGCCCATTGTTTCATAATCCATCCATGGCTTCATAGTTTTTTTGCAGAATTAGATACGTTTAATACCACTCTCATGTCTGTACAGTAAATATGAAGCTACTGCCAGCAGCAAATTAGCTTATGTTAGCATAGCAAGACTGGACACAAGGGAAAACAGCTAACATTGCTCTGTCCAAAGGTAACAAAAACACACCTAGCAGCAACTCTAGAAGTTGTATCCCCATTTCAAGTCTTTGTGCTAAGCTAAGCTAACCAGCTATTAGTTGTAGCATCATCTTCTCATCTGCCTCTTGGAAAGAACGCGAATTTCCCAAACTGTCAAACTGTTCCTTTAACATCTGCTTGTTCTCATGCTAGAACCAAAACATCTTTCAGTTACGTCCAGGCCATGTAGTTTACCCAAAATCAAAGGGGTATGCAGCATATTTTCCCTTTCCAATCTCTTCATATTTGCACCATTTCCCTCACCTCAATCAATCTTTGCCATCCTCTGCACCCATCCTTTACGTTGGCTGAAACCAGACGCCATCACTCTTGCCTGCTACAGCCTGGGAACCTCTCACGACTCTCCTATTCACCTCCAACCCCTGGAGGGCGAAGGCGTAAGCAGCAGCAGCAACAGCAGCCAAAGCTATGTTTTGCTACTGCCCCCCCACCCCCCACCCCCCCACTCCCACTTAATACACAAACACAACCACCATCATCAACCTCCCCAACCCTCTTAACAACTCCCATGCTTGAATGCTTGAATCAAGTCTCAAAGCCGGGGCCCCATCCAGATCCAGTGTCTCTTCTGGATCCTGGCCAGGAAACTGGAGGCTGACAGATAAAAGGAGAAAGAGACAGAGGGAAAGAGGTAACAGCAGAGAAAAGATGTAACAGAGAAAGAGAGATGGGTACAGAGTGGCACAAAGGGTAGAAAAAGTCAACACAAGCCTCTAAATGGCTCATCAGTCCACTGTGCCTCACTGTGTACTCGCTTCAAGAAAAATCCATGAAGTGGAATGTACCCAGTGCCCACAGACGTCACTGACAGGGACAACAACACGACCAACTGCATCAGCGAGAACAGAGAATAATGAGCAATATCTCTATGTATCAGTGGAGCTAAACAGATAGAAGCCAGCCAGGCTATAAATGGAAAATGACTTCATCCCTGGAAACACTCCACCTCTTCTTCCTCCTCCTCGGCTCCATCTCTCATCTCCACTCAATCGTTCTTCATAACAGACTCTCAAAGATTATCCTGAGTTTATGTACATATTTGTACTGATCACACATACCTACGTGGAAGACTGGAGCAAACTAGATGCCTGCTACCGTTGATGTATGTGTGTGCAACCATAAACAAGTGTGTGATAAGCTTCCATTGACACTAGCCCACACAACGTGATAATAACGTCACTTTTCTCACCACACTGTGCATCCTTCTGGAGTACCCTGCTCTGTGCCAAGATGCCCAGGCTTGTTCCAATCCACTCTCCAGCATGTTGTCCTTACCCACTACAAACAAGATCAGCCCATACACAGTTGCAGTGCTGAGTTGCTGGATGATTATTGGACATAGTGTCTGAGAAAACCACTTTACAGGAAGATCAGAAGGACACAATCTTGGGAAAATACCTCAATGTTACAAAGCTATTTAGGCGAGTAAATGTGCACTTCTAAGACCACTAATGGTACAAGTGGAAAGCTGGGTTGTTGAGTGAGATCAAGAGAGATCAAAAGATCAAGCAAACCTGAAAAAAAGAGCACATTTCTTTCCATGATTCTTTGTCTTAGGTATCACTGCACTAAACACTTCAGCTTGGTTTTCTGTTTGCAGAAGGAATCTGACAGTGCTATCAGATTTTCAGACGTCTCAGGCACGGCTCTGGGCATGAGAACAAACGCTGTGGCCAGATGCTGTCCCAGTATGCACTTGGATGGACATCAAGGTGCTTGCAACAAGAAGGGCCAGGCTGTTTCACAGGGGCTGGGCAACCTCGCAACCTTATCATTGCTGTAATGGACAACCTGATCTGGACTGCCTATTATTGGTCTGCATAAAAGGAAAGGCTGAGTGTGTGTATATTCAGATTAATGCCTCGTGTAACAAAGTATTTATCTGTATGACGTGAATCACAACTGGGTTTTGACATACCAGTGTTTCCCATATATTGATTTGTCTGTGGCAGCCCGCCACAATATCAACATTGACTACCACATGTTGATTTTTTTTACTATTTCCAATGGGTAAAATCTTATTTCATTGTTTCATTGATTTGCCATCCTTGCTCTCTGTTTTCTCTCTACCATCTGTCACAGTCGGACTGGCAATCAAGATATCCTGCTGCAAAAAATCCACAAGACTTTCATCACCTCTCTGTCTCTTTACTCTGTGTGTGCCTGATATTCAGGGTGCGCAGAGCATACTGCACGTGTGTGCAGAGCATACTGCATGTGTGTGCTGGGACTGGAGCTGTATGTATTGTTCAGTTATTTATTTGTCACAATTAAAATATTTGCTGAGGAGCACTTTATCTGATTCTGTGGGAAACACTGTACCATAAATTGTTGGGATTCATCATGACAAATTACCACAAAAGGTTTTGTTCATTTGCTGTGGGAAACTAACTCACCCGAATCTTTATGGTCCGCGTTTTCCCTCCGCAGTTCTTTTTCAGCAGCATTTTCTGTGGAGTACAAGAATAGAGTTCACTTCCTTTCTCTCAACATTAAGTGAAACTTCTGCAGCTTCTCTTTATGTAACAATCCCAAAACTATATAAAAGTTGCTTGCTTGTATAATTTGTAACATACTGTCTTGTACACTTCAACAAAAATGTAAACCCAAAGAACTAACTGCAGTACAGTTGCTTGAGTAAAGCTCATGCCAGGCTTATGTATATTTGAATATTGATTCTAAATTGAGCGTATTACCAAAATTCAACCATTTCAAAACCTTCATTTAAACAGTAATCTTTACAGTAAAACAGCAACGTACTGTGTGATGTGACAAGAAGTGAACACTGGCAGTCAATAAACATTGAATCAGGATGATTAAGAAAGTGAGGCAAATCCAGCTGTCTCACTAAACTAAACATTCGGTCAATGAAGCTTATGCAATATCCTGTCTCCCACTCCCCTCTATGTCCACGCAGCTTCACTATTCTCAAAAACACAGTGGGGGTGGTGGGACCACACAATCATCGAATTGTCTCGCGTTGGGGAGGTAGCTTCTAAGGGGGAAGGGAGCTTAGGAAAGAATGGAAACACAAGACTCCTGCTGTTGTGATGTGGGAGAGAGCTGGTGTGCACTTGCCCTCATGCTCACCTCCTGCCAGCCCTTATCTCTTTTCATCAATGGGACTACAGTCGCTTTGGGTGCAAGCTGCTCCCACAGCAATTCAAAATGGAAATTTCTACTTTGTATTTAATTCAGCTTCTCAAAAAAAGCTGACAAAGATACATTTTTAATACTGCATGTGATTAAGTGAGTCAACTTTGTTTATCAAACATGTGAGTACTTTGAAAAAAGGGGGCAACCAACTTTAAATAACATCAGCCAAACATTTGTCCTTCATCAATTTCATTCCACACATACAGCACTGACTGCAGCAGAATCACTGTTATTCACCACCAGCCCACACCACGCTCCTCTTAAACCACACGCACGCACGCACGCACGCACGCACACACACACACACACACACACACAAACACACACACACACACAAACACACACACACACACGTCTAACAGGTCGTGACTCTGGCTGGCTGTTTGAGTGTTGTGGTTATTCATGAAGAATACAAAAAGTGAAATATTTTGATTTTCCAATTTTGAAGATTTTGGAGGATTCAGTTTTGGTTTTGTCTTTATGATTGTTTTAGAGGAAGTGAATTTCTGAACTGATGAATTTTAAACATTTAGTCTATGTGTGATGTTTGGAGGGTTGGATAATTTATTCTGTGATTTATATAAAGAATTACCTGTGTTACCTGTATATGAATTCTGCGATACACAACTGTTGCTTTGAGTTGCTTATCTTAGCTGATCCTTGGTGAGAGCTATAATGTAACCACTGTTTATGTCTATATATTTACACTCGTCTCTGATGTTGAAGCTGAAACATCAACACACCAGCTGATCTTTTTTTATCTGCACTTTTAAATGTATTGACTCACAACTGTAATCTTATTTTAAAAATGTATAATGTTCAATATGAGACATTACTCATTGCAATCATGTTTACATTTGATATTCAATGAATTCAATTAATATAAATAGTATGTAGGAAATAGAAATAATGGGTAGGAAAATTATAAAAGGAAATGACTGCAAGTAAGGTAAACTAGCAAAATGGCTACAATATGTAAAATACTGCTGTGGTCATTTGAGTGAAGTGTGTATTTTTTATTATATTTTGTACAGCTGCACCATTTACATACAGAGGTCTGACCAGCATCTTCCACATAAACAGTTGTTCTTTCATGATAATCAAGCTAACAAACAGCGGCAGTGTCACATCTGAGCAATTGGTCATGGATTAGCATGCATGAGGGATTATCAGCGACTAAAGGAAAACAGCCTGCTGACCCTTTAACCCCACCTTTAATAAAATTATGAGATAAATAAATGTATGGCTAAGGTCGCAGCTCATGGTCACACTGGGGTATGGCAGCCTTCCAAGCTTTGGCTTTAGATAGTACCAGATCAGCAGCGACAATTGAGGGTTTCGGGGGAACACAAGTGGACTTCAACATCCGTTGAACAAAATCATTAATTTAATAGCGTAATATGAAAAATATTTCTCTGCTTATTCCTTAGAACAAGGAGACGATGTGTAACAACTTTGGTCACAGGCTGTGCTCCTCATCAACATCATACAAACTTTGGTAAATCTTTATCAATTAATAGATATAACAGAGAGCTTCTCATATGGGGTTTCAGTAAGAAACTAAAAGAATGGGAGTCTGGAATCTAAAATAATTTTTTAGGAGGATGGAAAATGTTTGACCTGATCAGACAGAATCCTCCTGATTTTAACACCTTTAAATGCTACCTGCTTTTCTTTTCTTTTTTTTTTTTTTAAAGACCCAGCTCAGTCATCTTTCTTTCTTCTGTCTAACTCCAGAAGTGCATCTGTGAAAGAAATGACATGGTGTGTAAGTTGAGGCAGACTTTGTGCGTGGAAGTTGTCCAGCTAAAGGGTTAATAGGAGACTGGAGCTGTGTCTGCTAGCTACCTCTGTAGGCCCCCTATTGTATTCCCTGCAGCACCTCCCATTCCACTTGACCGAGTGTGCACACACTTTCTCACACACACACACACACACTGTGGCAACACGCACGCATGCACAGACACAGCAACAAACTCGCAGACAGAAGGATGTACACATGCAGACACAAAAAGACAGGCAGGATGATAGACGCGTACCCCCCCTACACACTCTCTCTCTCTCTCTCTCTCTCTCTTCTTCTTTTTTTCTTTTAACCCTTCTCATTGCTGCCCGCTGTCTCTCATCATCTGTTCTTTCCCTCTAAAAACCCCATGGACATATGGACCCCTGAAACCTGCAGTTTCTCTCTGTGCAAACACACACACACACTCACTGAGACACACACACACACACACACACAACCTTTCCCATCCATGGTGTGGGCCAACAAGTCTATTGGATTTTAATGATTAGTGGACCAGCTTCTCCATGACTCATTAGTGGCTGTCGTTTTTCTGTTGTTTGTTTAATCCTCTCCTTCTGCCTCCACCCCTCCATCGTTTCCCCTCGCTCGCCAGCCTTTGTGAGAAACGAGGGCGGACATCTGCCGTCCGTGCCTCCCTCTCCTTCATCCCTCTCCAGCCAGACCACCGTGGTGGCAAGCGTCCGGCCATGGAAAGGGAAGACTTTGTTTGCTTGTGCGAGTGTGCACATTTGTGTGGCCATGTGTGTGTGGAGGGTAGCCGGGTAGACTGCAGGGACATCATTGTATTTTTGGACAGAATCCTCAGCCTGACTTTACAGTCTGAGCTGTTCAGGAGAGTAGTGCAACACTCATCTGCTTTTTTGTACTTTTGTACTATGCTAAGAAAAATACTTCAGCATGAGGCATCCTATGAATGCTCTCAAGTGCTGCTAGGAAGACATCACCACCTCACCTTGTCAGGTAGTGTATCATCATATGCAACAAAAGAAAATACATAACGTGCAATTCTCAACAAAATGACTGAAGTGTTGCAAAGTGCACAGTGTTCATTCATTATGGAGCCTGCTAATTGAGTATTAAGGTGTCTCCAAGCTAAATATCCCATTGAGGGTAACAGATCATTTGTCTGGGTTATCTGAGAGACAATTAGTGCTGTGTGACAATTAAGCTGATAATAATTCATCATTTAAGTGCTCTGAGAACTTAAACACATTTTCATTTTGCAGTGATGGCAGGTCACTACTTACCTTTACTTAAGAACTGTACATCAGTACACACTTGAGACTTGTACTTTACTTGAATATTTCTATTTCATCTGACTTTATACTTTATACTCCACTACAGTTTAGATGGAAATATTCTTCTTCCTAATCTGCAACATTTATTTGACTGCTGGAGTTATTTTAACTACCAAACAGTATATAATGTAGTTAAAATTAGCTCCACTTTGACCAGCTACAACATTAAAATGTCACTTACACATAAATGCATTTGTAATAATAATGCTTTCAATTTTGACAGTATTGTATTGTTACTTTTACTTACATGAAGCATCTGAACAATACCTCTATTGTCATGTTGTTAAGTTAATAATATGTCAATAATGTTACCAAATAATATGTTAATAATACAAATTGACCGCATTTCTTAGGCCATGCTAGTAGCCCCTTAACACAGTACATGACCCCTGATCTAAATTGTTAAACAGAACAAACTTTTTGTGATTATTATTTATTATTGCTTAGTAGTTTTAATGTAATTGAAATCTGTTCAATATGTATATATATTGAGGTTGGTGCTCGTAAAAAAGTCATGAGGTATGTAACCACACCTTGGACTACTAACCTGTTGCATTTTCTCCAGGTCCAGACTGGGTCTCCCCGGCTCCCCACTGTAGCTGTGCCGATACTTTCTATAAGGTGCTGCCTGGTCAAAGTGGGTCAAAATAATGGGCCGTGCCACTGGCTGCACCACCTGCAGCTGAAAGCGCATAGGTGGTGGCTTGAGGCTACGTGGTGGGCTGGAGCTGAAGAGCACAGGACTGGGGGAAGCAGCCAAGCAGGCGCCTGGCTCAACAAGTGGCCTGGCAGAGGCAGCCGGCGACCTGCAGCCACAGAGATCCCGCACCTCCTCATCACTGGAGGCGCTGCTGTGGTGATCACTGTGGCGCTGGGGAAGTGCAGACACCCACTTCCTGTTGTCACCACAGCTGATTCGCTCAAGCTCTTCCTCTGAAGAGTGACGATCCAGATTGGCATCTAGAAGGAGGCGCAGGCGCCGTAACCGAGCTGGAGAGAGGGGGCCCTGGTTGTGCTGCTGGCTGGTGGCCAATGGGGTGAGGGCGCAATTTCTCCGTCTCTCTAGGAGTTGATAAACAGGAAATGTCAAAGGAGAAGGTGGAGACATGGTTGCAAAAAGAGTGCAAATGCTCTTATCAACAAGCAATTATCTGTTGACTTGAAACATTTAATCATAATGTGTGAGAGTAAATGAATGATGGAGAAGGTCATCATCTATTTACAATGAAAATCATTTGTTTGGCAGAGAGCACTTACCTCTGTCAATCTGTGCAAGTTCCTGGTTCTCCCCCTCTGAGTCGTCACTCTCTCCTCCCTCTCCACTGCCATGGTAAGAGATCTGGAAAAAGGATTGAACTTATACTGTAGGTCAAATATGTCATGTAGTGATGTCTGATAAATTAACCCCTTACATTTTCTGCAGTGGTTAATATCTCTCCCAAAATGCTTCTCTTTTTTCTTTTTTAAATCAACATTTAATTTGGCCACTGATCAATTGTGAAGGCTGTTTTCAATGTAATTGAATCAATAAAGGATCAGAGTCTCAGATACACAGAGCAACTTAAATACACACTCAAAATAAAAAGCAAAACCTTAACAATTGCAATGATGGAGTACAAAACAGGGTGACCCAATTCCTAATTATGAGTTATGTACAATGTTTTCTTAGTTTGCTGCAAAAACAACAAGAAGTCATCTGCAACAAATACAAGATCTATAATGAGCTTCCAACAGAAACATTCATTTCAATGTAAATGTTGCATGGTAATTTCTACAACATAGGCAGGCACAAAGTTGAGTTGTATTGTTGTCTAAGAGTAGACTATTGTTTCTCCTAAGGGGAGGTTTCAACCTAAACCAGCCAGTCTCTTTAAAATGAATTCCTTGTCTATAGCAGTAGCAACAATACAGATACCCTGCAGACTGCAACGCTAAGAGTTAAGTAATGCGCCTCACACTCAGTAATTACCACTCCAAGGCCTCGCTGAGCAGCTGCCATCTGTGCTTGTGCGTGCGTGTGTATGCTTACACACATACATTCACACAAACGTACAGTGTCCTCCCTTCCACCCTCTAATACACACACACACACACACACACACACACACACACACACACACACACACACACACACACACACACACACACACACACACACACTCTTCCTTTTTCTGTAGCTCTCCAAAAAGACGGAGAGAGGAGCCAGGGCCTCAAAGCCCAATAAGGACAGACAGTATTCAATTCTTATTAAGTGTGAATTCCAATGTAGTTTCTCACACTCTTCAGTTATATATTATTATGAAAAACCAGAGGGTTGCATCACATACTGTGTCCCCCCTTTTCCACCTGCTTGTGTCACGTTGCTACATATTAAACATTTCCTATCATCATGAACTATCACAATATAACCAACCTACAATGCATATTTTCATAGATTCCTACATATGAAGCATTAGACAGAAATTCAGAATAAATATATTTAAAAAAACAAAGTGTGATGGTAAAATATTTTCCCATATAGTAAATAAATACATTTGAAGGAATTAAATATGACAGTAAAGGATGTAGCCTAATATTTCTCCATATTGACACTGTTGAAGTCATTTGGATAAGGCATGAGAGCAGCTTGCTCTTCAATGGTACACGAGTTGTGGGACAGATTCTCAATGAACAGGCCCGGAGCCAGCGTACAAGACAAAAAAACCTTGGCTCTCTCAAGTAAAACTGCATCACTTCATGAACTCCATAGGAAAAATTACACTGAGGAATAACTGTGGGAAGGAAATGTATTTTGGCAAGTGGCTGACTCAGGGCTTCGGCTACACTATACACTCCAGTGAATTATTGTTGGACAGCATCCATGAAACAGCTGAAATCCTATTAAAAGTTACTGCTGCAGGACACTAAGAATGAAGTGACGCTGGTGGTTCATAAACTACATGTCTTAATTGTACTCTGCAGACATGAGTTCAGTCCAGACGAGAAATCAACAGGATGAAGAAGTTACATAGAGACTCTGACAGAGTTAGCAGCTTTAATTTCTGTGCTTCTTCTGGTCTGGAAGTCTGATGTTTCTCCACAGAGCAATCATTGTCTGTGCAACAAGAGGCAAATATAAGCTGACAGTAACGAATCAGCCTTTCCTTCCCCTCAGGGAACGCCTCAGAGGTTGTTGTTGATGAATTAGAGAACAACAGAAATGTATTGTACCAAATGTGCAGCTCATTTGTAAGACATGGGTTGATGTCTAATAATATAGGACAACACTTGTTCATGTGTTTCAGGTTCTGTTACAATCTGCTGTAATAAATGCATGTCTCAGATTTACACACTGACACAAACATAAAAATGTGTTGAACCACAACACATAACCTTTACAAGTTTGGTGCATGACACAACAGCTTTCTACTTTCAGTGACTTCCTTACTTTCACTGGCACACATATTATCACTTTAACACTGACCACCATTCTAACAGCACACCATCTGAGAAATTACTATTTATGCAAAGCAGGTCTGTGTCAACAGACCATAAAAACATCCAACCATGCAAATCTCATCTGGGTGTTATGCATGTAAGTATTTGAATAAGTTTCACTCCCAACACTCTTTTAGACACTCATGCAGCAGAATCGTGATGGATGTCCTGACATTTGTTTTCTCACAGTTATCTTGTATCAGAATTTAAGTAACTGTTGTTACAAATGGTATCTGTATGTGAGTCTGTGTGAGAGAGAGAGAGAGAGAGAGAGAGAGAGAGAGATCCACGTTTTTCAGTGAACCACGTATATGGTAAGTGCTTTGGTGTACAGAATCTAGCTTTAATAAACACCCGACTCTGCCTGACTGACATTCAGTTTACAGTGAGACAGGATGGCAGGGCTTTCCTAACAGAAAATGAATAACAGGGTTTCACCATTGCCACTGTGCCATTGTGGCACCATCATTCCAGCTGCAGAATATGGTGTTGAAATGATGCTTTCATACAATTTTACTGACTAAATTTAGAGTCACCAGCTACATTGATCCACAATAATTTACTTGTAGTCTGCATATGATCATCAAAAATTACAGACAGGTTTAGCAGCTGGATTTGATTTCATCTAATTTATTTGCTTGATGCATTGATGAGAATCTATTTATACAACTTCAAAGGACAGACATTTCTTCTTGCAATGTTTCGTGGCCCTTTCAGTTCATTCTTTTTTCAGCTCTTGTATAATGCTGTGGTTAAGCCTGGATTGCACCACTCCAACCTAGATAGGTCGCCTCATACTATAATCCTTGCTACTAAGCATCGACACCTCCATTCCTGAAGTGTCAGTTTTGGATAAAGAGCAGTACGCTGCACCTGCAGTTGTACTGCACTGATAAGAAGTTCATAGCTGGCTAGAAAATATCACAGCTGAGGCTGTTCGGTTGAACAGACATTTTGGCCTTGACTGTACAGTCAGGTTCAAAATACCAAGTACAAATCAGTAATGTTTTGATTTTCTACAAAGCCTGATCATTACAGCACAGGTTAAATGTATGAAAACACAATGTTAGCATAGGTGGAGCAGCATTTGTCAGGATGGTGGAATTCATTAGTAAAATTCACAGTTGAATGCTGATGTATTTCTGCACATATACTCTGAGAAGATACTTATATCTACATACATACATATTTATAGATATAAGATAAGGAACTACTTGCAAAACAGAAAGTACATTATGTACACGTTAAGCACAGACACCCAATCAAATGTTCAATCAGGACCACCCACAGTCACACCCTTTCCCACGTGCTTATTAGTCATTTGCATCATTCACATTCACAGCGAAAACAATCCATGGTGAAGGAGATGTGTTAACATGAAAACAAGTGTGAAATTGACATTTAAAAGATATATGACCTTCTACTGCTGCTTCCACATTAGTGCACCCTGTAATAGCTTTGAAAAAAAAAAAAGAGTCCTGCACTTACATCACTCAGATATTATCTTCAAGTAAATCACTGATGGTGGTTTTCATCAACTTGTCCAACTACTAAATTTGGATCCACCACTACTTTGCATGACAAATATTCAAATTATGTTTGAGGTAAGGATTTGGTCTGCTAGCAGCCATGACAGTAGCATTGTCCTGCAGTGTACCAAACTACCCTGGAGACTATTTTTCTCGCACGTGTCAACTGTCCACAAGTTTAGCAGTGGGTCTGAGAACTGATCACAAAAAGGCGGATATCCATGTATTCATTTAATCTTCTAAATGTACAAGTTAATCAAATCTACAGTGATGTAATGGAGTATACAGTGCAATTTTTAACATATTAATACATTTCTACATTCATTAAAGAATATCAACTGTGATATGATATACTGTGCAAAACTTTTAGAGATAATATGTTTATGAGGTGTCAGGGAGAAAAATAACAAGCCAGAAAGGTTTATATCACAGCCTCATGATTTATAGATAGCAATGTTAAACTTTATTACTCATATTACAGTCCTAACCCAGTGGTGTACAAGGCAAGTAATTGCAGACTACATGACAGCTGGGACACATAAGCAAAGTGAAAGTGAGACTCTATGAAACTCCCAAAGCATAAAAACTGCTTTTGTGCATGCATGCAGAGACAGACAAAGAGTTGTGTGTTTGTGTGTCAAGAACAGTTGAATGAAATCCTTGTCAGTCCCTTGCAACGCTGAGCAGCTTGCTAAGCTGGATCAATGGCAATGTCACAGCGTACACACACCACCCAGTTCACACACATATCAGCTTTGCTCTATCCTTCCACACAGACATGGACACTGTCCCACTCAATTCTTCCTCTCATGAAAACACACGACACAGGGTCAGAAATGGTTGATCCACTTTCCCTCACACTCCAGTGAATCTTCCCCACAGTGCAGAAAAGTAGTCTTGATTAGTGTAAGCTCATAGGATAGGTACTGTAGCATTGCCTAAGAGACCTTTAGTCCCTTGTCAATTATCCTGTAATGGTCACTCAGTCCTCAATCACCCAGTGACCACTGCCACAAACCTCTAACTCAAATACTATCGGAGTTACTAATGAAAAACTGCAGTCCCTATAGCAAAGCCCCAAACTAAATCAGATAAAAATAATAGCTAATAATAATTCATCTTTAATCAAAACACTTGATGTAAATAATTAGCTATAATCGATATGTGGACTGAAACAGGGTTCACACCAGACTGCTAACTGAGGAATACTGCCAAACTGAACCTTGGTTTGCTGTCATTAATAACAGTAGTAAACCAGCTAATAACTAACCATATGTAAAAGTGCACGCTACCAAATTACAAATGGGTTGAGGAGTTTGTAAAACATTGAATTTGTAATGCAGGGAGGGTCGAAAAACTCTCTGTACACCAGAGTTTCTTTGTCACAACAAAAAAATTCTAGGGGAGGATAGTTTGTTTATGTTATTTGTTTCAGTTTAAAAAGTTACTATCAGACGATGTACCATTATCGTTTTTTTTTTAATTTTCAAATATCAATATCAGTATAGGCCTAAAAATTGAGTATCACTCAGGCTATAAAGTGAAATACTAAATCACTGAAGTGCCCCTTTAAAGGTTAGTTTCAGTTTATTACAAAAGTTTCTTATATTTTTAGCCTTATCATTTCTATAAGTAATAACAGTCTTGTGCTTACCAAAGTCATTTCAGAGATTTGGGAGATTTGGAGCACTGATAAGAAGTCAATGTGAGGTGACGTGTGTGAAGAACTATGAGTTATCAGATAATCAGACATGTTTTAAACAAACCTGCAAGTGAGACAACTTATTTGGCAGAAAAAACAAAGGCAAACATTCATCATCTTTTACAGACTTCCTGAATGCTTGTTTAGCGATGTTGCTATGTTCCTTGGTATAAGCAAATAACTTGGCTAGTACAATGCTATTGTTACTGGTATGAATGTTGGCCAAAACTGTGAAAGTTTCTGTCTCTATCATTAAAAAGTGGTTGGTGCTGGCTGACATATCTCAAACCAAGTTTCCTGCTAGCTTTGATATTATAATACACTTTTATACTACGACAGTTCAACACTACTTCAACCAATAACACTGGTTTAAAAGTTGCACATCAGTCCAGTTTTTGCGCACTTTTAAGTGAGAGCTAATACTGAAATGCGCAGTAACTTTTTTTTAAAACCTTGATTTAACAATTAGGATTTTTTCCAATGGGAATTCCTTTGTTTGAACCCTGTGTATCAGTTTCAATAGTATGAGGTGTAGCCTGAAGAGATCTTTTACCAGGGGTAGGATATAGGCACCAGACCTACTCACTACTCACTTTTCCCATCACACTAACCACTTTCAGCAGAAAGAATCCTCCAACTGAGCAGAGCAACAAACACAAACAAAAGCAGACAATGAGGATGGCACACTTTCCCCTGTATCCGTGGCCAGGCCTTTGAACAGGAGCGCTTTGGCACAAAATGGCTGCCATGCGACTATACAGTTGGTTGACGCACAATAGTGTTGTGGATGGAGCAAGTTAGTGACCCATGCAGGATACAATTCACCCTCCTACTCACCAAAAAGAGGCATTATGCAAACTGAGCAGGCAGCAACAATTGAGGAGCACTTACATGGATTCTGTTGTGGAAAATTGGAGGGCACAGATGTAGATGTTGACACTAAGGTTTTTACTGAAATGTTTTGTTTTTTAGAGCCTTTGTATGTGTCTAAATGACACCCCAACACACACCAACCTGGACTCTTCTTTTACACGCAAAGGGAACTCTGACCATTAAGTGTGGACAAAGATTTACTTTCTCAAATGACAAACAGTTTATGAGTCAATGAGTGTCCATATGAGAGTGGGAGAGTTTGTTGACATGCCACATGTTTGTGATGTGTTTGTGTAGCAATGTGGATCTCCGGTTTCTTCTTGTAAACATCTGGCTCGGTCCTATGAGCCACGAAGAGCACATTCCTTCTTACATGGTAATGAATGGGTTGAGGTGCTTAGAAGCAGAAAATACCTCCAAACAACACATGCTTGAATATCAGAACACACAGGCTGTCAATGTCCAAAGAAACTCACTGCAGTTTGTTATTTGTCTGTATAAGAGTGAGTGAGTGAGTGAGTGTGTGTGTGTGTGTGTGTGCGTGTGTGTGTGTGTAAGAAAGAGAAAGAGAAAGGAGGAGAGTGTTAATGAACTCACTATAACCCCGTTCAAGCAAGGTTACAAGCTGAGCTCATAGTGTTCAAGCTGCTCAGTCAACTGGCCTACAAATGAACAAGTCACAAGACAAAAGTAAAGCACAAAAAAAAGCTTCTCAGCTGTACTGCTATGTGTTCTAGCCCAAGTGTACTGACAACTACAAGCTATGACTTTAAATGGTGTTAAAACAGCAGTATTATGGAGATAAGTACCTCTGTCAAACTTACCTTCAGTTGGAAAGGATGAATCTCATTGAGTGAATGTCTTCTTAGTTTCTTCGTCAACGTCTTTAGCATGTTTTTTTTTCTGAGTAGCTTATGGCTTATCCTCTACAATTACTACTGTTTCTGATGTGACGGTTACAACTTCATTAGCTAACATGAGCGGCTTTACACATTTAAAAGAAGGCACACGGGATTATCACTTGACTTCAAACCGCCGAGCAGCTGCACACTCTTAGCTCCAGGTTAGCTAGTGTCAAAAAACATGATACACCGAAATTCGTTAAACTGCGTAGATGTGGCTTCTTTTCAACGGCTGTGCGTAGCAAACTTGTTATTATCGAGTTCATTAGTCTACGTTGTAGTGTCGGGTCTTTTTTTCTTTTCCTCACCCACCGCAGCCTCGACTCACTTCCACAGCTTAATTCAAAGATGTGGGCAAAAAAAATAATTAAAAAACAATATCAACTTGCTCGCATTCAGACACTCACACACGCACACTCACACACATACACACAACCAAATGCACACCAGCTCCACGAACACACACAGTACTCCTCCAGCCTGAGCGTACTACCCTCTGATTGGCTGCACCTCTGAGTGATGTCATGTTTCTCTCTCGAGGAGGAGGGCTGAGAGTTAAAGCCACATTATCTTGTCTGTTTACTTCCTCTTTTTCTATCAGGATAATAAATTATATGCACTTAAACACACAGGTGTTTGTATTCTGTCTGCCTTCTGCAAAAAAATGTCTAGTTTAATTAATTTGAATACGTGAATTTGCGGCCATCACAACCTTAATGTTACTGAATTTTCTGTTAAATTGGTAGAAGTTAGTACAAGTAAACAAAAAGTCGCAGAAATATCATTACATCTAAATTATGTTGTCTTTTTAATAGCTCTAATTTAATTTAAATCAATGCAAATACTCAGTTAATTGACATTTCACGTGATAAAAAGCACACTACTAATATGAGTATGATGGCTCTGCTTCATATACTGTAAGAGGTACTGTGCCGACTCAATGACATGACTTAGGCTACTGGGACACCCAAATGAAATGGGGCTATCATTAATTAGTTAATCAGTAACATCTGTGCTTTTCCTGCTATGAATATGGCCACACTTACATAGGTCCATACCTCTGACAAGGTGAAATTGAAGCCATGTCATTCAATCTGTCTACTTTCTTTCTGCCAACCCCCCCTATTTAGTATCTATTAGCACTATATCAACATTTTATATATTGTTATAATGTGGTTGTACATAGATAAGCGTTTATTAATGTACAGTATTTGTTGACAGTTACAACCTCTACTATGAAGCCATATTATAGATTATTAGAGCTGTGTTTTACAGCAGTGACATTTATCAGCTGGTTATTCACAAGCCTCTACTGATGGATGCCTCACAGGAGGAGTTACAGTTATTGACAAATACATTAATAAACACGAACCTGCTTACAGCTAAATTATAGTGTCTTTTAAACCACTTGATAAATATTTATATTCTGCCTATAAATGCTAAATAGGGGGACTTAAAGTAAAGTGTTACCCTATCCTTTATAATGTGGTGGAGAAGTATACAGAACCACAAAGAAAAAATATTCCACTAACAGTCCTGCATTGACAATATTTAAGTGTTTGAAATTATTAACAAAAGTAAAAGCACTTAAAAATGGCCCATACACATGATATATTATTATTTTGCTGCATTATCCTTATAACTGATGCACTGCTGTGTAAGTAGCACGTGATGTATTTGGTTGAGGTGCATCTGATTTTAAATTTGTAAAGTCACTAGAAAATAATGGAGTCAAAAGTATTGTACAACATTTCCCTTTAAACTGCAGGAGAAGCAAAATTGCATGCTGGAAATACTCAAATAAAGTATATCTATACTAACACTTTACTTTCCACCACTGCAGTTTACCACATATTAAGCTCTTAGTTTGACATGATATGAATTTGATTAGCATAGCGAGATATGTTTCATTTGAGTCATCATTAAAGCAATGTTGAAGTATTAGACCCTGGTATTAAATGATGAGGTCCTCCTACAGCTGTTACATGCAAGAGTTTTGGAACACTGTATAGCTTCGGCAGCTTCAGTAGACTTGAAGCCGACAGAAGTCTTTGAATTGCAACGTCACCATAATTTAATTCACAAGTTATTATCCCAGCGTGAACACATGAGGATGACTATTATACCCTAAGGATTAACTCTTTCCAATGTGCAGTGCAGACAGTTACACAACTCAAACACTGAGGAGTGTCATTCAGAGCAAATAACATTAGGCTCAGTGTGTGTCCATTTTGGAGCCTGCACTGTGACATGAAAACATAAAAAATGTACTTGTGATCTTTTTGGATTAATTTTACTATGATAAACAATGTACTGAAGCTTATTAAAATCATTTTTAAAAAACAATTAAAATAAAAGACACAGCAGAAGAAGTGGATCATTATGTTTACTGAAGTATGTAAACACTGGCTTGTGTTTCAAGGAAAGAAAAATGTTTCCAAATCTGAATAAAAGCCAACATTTCCATTTGTGAGGCCTTCCATCTATCTTCTTGCTACAGCTGTTATTCCTTGCGGTATCCCAGTGTCCAATAACAACTACACCTTTTCAAGAGAGAGAGAGAGAGAGAGAGAGAGAGAGAAGGAGGACATGTCAGGTGTAATTGGTGTAAGTGGAGCATCCAGTTTCAGTGATGTCATTCTTAGCAACCAGTCTTATCTAAGACGTCGTTGCATGCCTGCATACATGTCCTGCACTGCAGCAGCATTTGTTTTTGTCTCTGTTTTCTTTCTATGATGCTCTAGAATCCTATTACAATGATTAAATGTATCCAAAAGCTAATCAAACACTTAATAGCCAACACTAAGGTAAGACAATTTCAAATCATTTAACCCACTCCAAACATAACTTATTTGCATAACAGTGCTGAGCATCAACATTAACACCTCGCTGTGCTGTTAAACACTTGTGGCTCACTCGTTTGTGTGTGAGATGCTCACTTAACACCTCCGGTCAATGACCTGGTAAACTTTCCAGGAACCTGTGACTTGGCTCCAGGTCAAGCTCAATGCAAATCCAATTTGCAACTGAATATAGCCAACGAGTCAGCAGTACCCAAGATCTGCGTAACCTCTGAGAGTATAAATATAAACTGCCCAAAAATAATGAGAAGAGAAACAGTTCATTACGATTATGATTATGTTTAGCCCTTGTCAAAAACTGAGAAGACTGTACAGGCTCATTATTTTTATGGGGGTTGTTGTTCTTACATTTTTGGTCACATGAGGGCAGCATTTGTATTCTTTTAGAGGAAAGGAATAAATGGATTACATCAAAGAAAAGATCCTAGATTGCAAGGGTGGTCACAAATCCTTTGAACAGCAGTGTGTGGCTGTGGTGAAGGTGGGTGGTGTAGTTCAAAGTTAAAGTTACTAATATAACCGCTGACCTTTGGACAATGATCATCCTGGTTTATTCTGTTCAAAATAATAAATCCAATTGGAAATATGTCAATTTTATAAAAAATATATTCAATTTAAGAACGTGGATAAAATGTTGCTCATTGATAAAGTGTCCTTTTGTTCCTCTTTAGTTTTTCATGTACTCAAAAACTACAAGCTAACAAAAAACCTGTACTTGTGTAATTGTAAATACTACAATATATTTCCCATATTCATACCTGGAAGAATCTTGTGACACCCCTACAGTGGACCGCAACATTTGATCTGCCTGCTTCACTAGCTTGTATAGCTTTTTTAATACACTTTACTTTCTTACCTTCAGAGATTCTGAATTAGATTGTATCAAGTATCTTTGGCTGAAAACTAATGTTAGCTTCTTTCTCACATTAGCCATAAGTTGCAGTTGAGCTAACTAATGTTGGCTAGCTGATAGTGTACACTTTCATTTCCAATGTTAGCTTGTCATTTCATTACAAATATAAAATGTCATATAAGATCTTATCTTAAGCAACACTGGTGCTAAGTCATGAGCAGTGAAACAATAGATGATTAGTTGTTGTAGAGATATATTTTTACATCCATATAGAGTTATTATTTTATTTGGTGTGGTTAATTAGTCTTTTACTTTGAACATTAGTTTTTATACTAGGCACCCTCTTTGTTTTCAAGAGGCAGTTGTCTGTTTTTCTGTGCTGGTAATCCAACCATGGGATGATCTACAGTTTATTCACCTCTTACATTGACTCCAATGTGGATATAAGAGGGCAGGCTGACAGCACACTCATTTCCAGCACATCACTGCAGTATGCAGTGGTGTATTTGCGTGTATTGGACTTTGTTTACTGACTGATTGATCGTAAATGTGACTAGCTCATTTTCATCCAGTGGCAGATCATGTTTGCAGTGTCTGCCACAGCAAACACGGCTCCAGAGTAAGCAGCAGTCTTGTTTGCTCTCTGCTGGCAGCTCAGTGATACTGCACAGATCATGTGAGTCAGTGTGGGCTGAAATGGTCCAGTGTGTTACAGTAAGTGTTTTGGAGAGCAGGGGTGTGAGAGGTGTTTGCTCATTCTTCTGTGACACTAAAAGCCAAAAGTACATAATTTATCCTAACATTGCATTGTGGTTCAATCATTTCCTGTTAAAGGGCAAAAGTTGCATATGTTTCTCTCTTCCTGATTTGAAGTTTAGTCATTTACCACACATTTGTGTCTAAATAATTTCACTGAACACAGGGGCTGTAACTGTAAGAGTTCAATGTAACATTCATGAATGTTTCATCATTGCAAGTATTTCAAGGATTTTTGAGGTTTGAATGGACACTGTACTGTGATTCAGAGAGGTTAGTGAAGAGAAGAGAAGAGAAGAGAAGAGAAGAGAAGAGAGGAGAAGAGAAGAGAAGAGAAGAGAAGAGAAGAGAAGAGAAGAGAAGAGAAGAGAGGAGAAGAGAAGAGAAGAGAAGAGAAGAGAAGAGAAGAGAAGAGAAGAGAAGAGGAGAGGAGATACATACACCCTGTCCAGCAGCAGGACCAGACACCACCTAAAGGTGATGCTGTGACACCACTCATCAGCCACTTTGACCCTGGTATTGTCCTGTTTACCAAATATGGCATAATCTTATATCCAGGAAACAGTGTTTGATTTCTCTGCCCAGATGATTGCACAAACGGAAGAATGTGGGGGCAAGAAATGATGTGAGCACGCACTGATGATGTCAACAGTTTTCCTTCTCGCTCATCAGTTGTTTAACATTGCTGAAATAGCTGATGACAAATCAGCCGGCTGACCTCTGAGCGTCATCACGTCTGTTTTTAGCAGTGTGCACTGCAAACCTCGGCCCACTTGGCCTTAGAAGTCCTTGTCTTTCTCTTTCCTGCTGCCCGCGTCGCCCACACTCTCCCCTGGATAGCGGCGTACGGGCACAGCCTCTCCTCTCGCCTGCACTCCCCCTCCACTCTTCCCTCACCCACTGACCCACTGGCGGAAAGCGTGGGGGCCATCTGTGGTGGAGAGGCTACTTTTAGT